TTTTTTCCAATGATTTAATTTCCCCAATAAGCATTTATTAATACTCCTAATCCCTTCACCCTTGTAACTAGTGAATACGATTAATATTATATTTTCCTTATAATGCATTTTCAGTACTTTTTACTCTCGTGCTACGATAACAGAGATATAATGACGACAACAACAACAAAAAAAAATAACAATAATATCCAGTACTTTTTTCTTCTTTTCAGCTGACTTTTTCTTCTTGAAAGGGATTTTTGGAGCAACGATAAAGTTGTCTCTGTATGATCTCACGTGCTTAAGCCGTAAAAACAACCACTAATGCTTGCATTAGATTAGGTTGTCTGCATCACACCCCTTGGGACGCAGGGCTTTCCTAAATTTTGTGTGAATGCGAAATACTTTGTACACTGGGTAACAGGCGAGACTAAACAGAAATACAAAGTGTAGGTAATTCTTTATCCACTCTGCCGTTGCCTTATTTTTATTTATTGGGGATCACTCTACACACTATTGGTAGCTAGAGAATTTGTTTTTGAGGTGTTTGAGCATTTAAATATTAAAAAATTGCTCGTATTAGTAGCTTCTATGTTTGAGATTAGTTGTCCTAATTTTTTGTGTAACTATTAAGATCAGTTGTTCCATTATTTGTATGCAGATTAATTAGCCACTACTACCTCATGTTCTTACAACTCTTTGCTCATATAATTTTTTTTTTTTGGGTTATTACTCTTTACATGCATCTATAAAATTGAATAGTTCTTCCTTGTGATGAATTTGACGATGGATGAATGTATTTTAGTTGTATAATTACGCACGAAACGAGAAAAGAGATATATATGTGGTGGAAATATACTTTCATATAATAGTTGACTGGAGTTAATAAAGCAAGCTGATAAGTTAATTATACCTAGAAATTTAACTGTGGATTGTAGTTAAAAGTAAGTTAGTTAGTACGGTGTTAGAAGGTAGTTATACTGTAGCTTTATAGATACACGGTTGTATCATTTTTTTCTCTTAATAACAGATTCTGTTTTCTCTCATCCTCTGAGTGTTGCCTTCTCTTGCATGTCTTCTTCTTTGAGCTCAACCTTCAGATCCATGGCAACTAACATGGTATCAGAGCCACCAGAGTAGATCAAAGGCAGTTCTCAAGCTAATCCTTACTCTCGTTACCTCAATTTCACAATTTTGTGGTAAATTGTCCAATTGTAGCGTATAGCTAAAAGACTAGGGTTTACTCTTGAGAAGCAACTGAAAATGGCAATTGGAAAAGAAACGTTAGCTAAAGATTCATTTCAAGCAACTACAACCTTTGGTAATGTCTGCCACTGGCGCAACTGTATCTCCATCAATTGACCACAATCACCCACTCTTCCTTCAACCAACAGACACTCCAGGTAGTACTCTGATTTCTCTTCAACTTACTGGTTCAGATAACTATGCCTATGGAGTAGGTCTATGAGGATTGGTTTGTTAGGGAAGAACAAGTTAGGTTTTGTAGATGGTCGATTTCCTAAGTCTAAGTTTGAAGCTAAACTCAATGGGAGAAATTTAATACTGTAGTTCTCTCATGGATAATGAATGCAGTAAGGCCAGGTTTATTTAGTAGTGTTTTATATGCTTCTAATGCTCACAAGATTTGGTAGGACTTAAAGGAGAGATTCAACAAGGTAAATGGATCTAGGGTTCTATATCTACAAAGAGAGATTTATACCCTCGCTCAATGTACCATGTCTATTGCTGACTACTTCTCCAAATTGAGAGATCTCTGGGATGAATTTGATGTATTAATACCCAGTCTTGGCTTTTCATGTCTTGAGTCTAAAAATATACCCAACACTTTGAGTATCACATGCTACTTCAGTTTCTGATGAGATTGAATGAGTTATACTCACAGTCAAGGGGCCAGATCATGATGATATCTCCAATTCCTAGTATCAACAAAGCCTACTCTATACTGATTGATCAAGAGAGTCAAAGGGGCCTGACTAATTTCACTCCAACTACTGAAGGCATAGAAGGAGTTGTATAACAACAATAACATATACAGTATTATTCCACACTGTGGGGTTTGGGGAAGGTAGTGTGTACGCGGACCTTACCCCTACATTGTGAGGATAGAGCGATTATTTCTAATAGACCCTCAGCTTAGGAAATAATAAGCACCGTATTAATAAAAATATAAACAAGAAGAGACATCACCAAATATAAAAGCAGAATAAAAATAACAAGATAATAAGGTGAACATAGAAAGAGATGTATTCCATAGTAATAAGGACCCAGCAAATGCATGTGGAAACTTCAAGTATAGAAAGAATTAGGTTCAGTGTGAATACTGTCATTATAAGGGGCACACAAAGGAGAATTATTACAAACTTCATGGCTATCCATTAGACTTCAAAGGAAAGAAAAAGGGGCATAGTTCTGGAGTGTATGCAAATAGTGTGGGTAGTCCAATGTTTCCAAATGCTGCAGAAGCAGGCACTCAACAAGTCTCTTATTGAACTCAACCAGGGATGTAGCAAGCCCAGCATGCTTACATGCCTCAGTTTACACAAACTACTCTCAACAATACTCATGTTGTTCCTTTCTTCACTAAAGAGCAGTACCAACAAATTCTTTAGATGTTGTCCAAAGGGAATGAAGAAGGTCCAAAATCATCTACCAAGTTAGCTGCTGCAGGTACTCTAATTACTCTAACGTCCAATTATCTCAAGCATAATTGGATTATAGACAGAAGAGTCTCAAATCATATGACTTCACAACTTGATGCTCTTACCACTTGTCAAGCAATCCCTAATTTAGAGAGATGCACTTTTCAATTACCTACTGGGAATGTAGTATTTGTATCACATAAGGAACTTCATTAGTACTTAAAAATAACAATATCTCTAATGTGCTATACATTCTAGATTTTAGATGCAACTTGCTCTCAGTGTCTCAACTCACCAAAGAACTTCAATGCATGGTTGCATTCTTCCCCGACTTCTGCATTTTTCAGGATCTCTACAGTAGTCAGGTGAATGGTATTGGTAAGGAGGAGCATGGTTTGTAAATCCGTCAAGGAGGATCATCATAGTATTCTGCAACAACACCAGAAAATAAGTGTGCTCACACAACCAACTTACTTGATTTTGAAATAGTATGGAATAGGAGATTAGGGCATGCTCCTATTGATGTAATAATGAAGTTAGATGCTCTTAGTACCTTAAAAACAGGAACTCATCACTGTCTTGTATGCCCAGTTGCTAAACAGTCTATATTGCCATTTCCTTTAAATACATCAGTGTCGCAATCTGCATTTGACTTAGTTTATTGTGATATCTAGGGGCCATATAGAGTTCCCTCTCATAGTGTTAAGAGGTATTTTATCACAGTAGTTGATCACTATACCATATACACTTGGATTTTTCTATTCAACTTCAAGTCAGAAGTTATAGTTGTACTAAGACACTTTCTAACTCAAATAAAGAACATGTTTTCAGCTTCAATAAAAGTCTTAAGGACTGATAATGGTAGTGAGTTTTTCAGTAATTACTTTAAACATTTGCTCTCCGGTCTTGGTATTTTCATCAGAGTACATGTGTCTACACCCTCAACAAAATAGAATTATTGAGAGGAAACATAGAACTATCTTAGACATGGACATGTCTCTTAGGTTCCAGGCTGTTGTTCCTCTAAGGTTTTGGGGTGAATGTAGCACCACTGCGGTCTACCTCATCAATAGGATAGCATCTTGAACACTTGGGTATAAATCAACTTTTGAGTTGATTTACTTGCATCCTCCTTCACTGCAACACTTAAATGTCTACTATCACTTTGGCTGCAGAATGGGAATGAAGGTTGAGGAGGTAGGGAAGAAAAGGTCTTTAGTTGTCTATGTTATGTAGTATGTCCCAGAATTGTTGACAAGTTTTCACCAAGAGCCATCCCTACTATCTTCCTGGGCTATTCTTCATCTCAAAAGGGTTATGTTCTGTATGACTTGAACTCTAAGTCTCTATTTGTTAACAGAAATGTTGTTTTCCAGGAAGACATCTTTCCTTTCAGGCATATGTTATCTCTTGGTAGCACTATCTTTCCTATACTGGATCAGCTCTCACCAATTAGTGCAAATCCCAGATTCTGCTCCCGGTGCTGATGTTCCTCCACATGAGGTTGGTATTACATCTGAGGGGGAGCCTCCTCTTTATCCTGTTGCTGCTCCTCACCATACACCAGACTATTATACAAGTCCTACAAATCCTGCAGGTGACCTCCCAAATAATATAGCACATGTTGATGCTCATACTGAGGCTCACCTTGAGTCTACAGAACTTGTTGATGCTACAGAACCTATTGCAGTAGTTAACTCACCTGGTGTTGTACCTTCTCAGGTCAGAAAATCCTCTAGGCCTAGAAAGCCTCCCTTATGGATGCAAGATTATGTAGTGCAGTCAAAAACTACTAACTGCTCTTATCCTATCTCAGCTTATGTGAGTTATTCTCGCATTACTTCCTCATACAGTCAGGTCTTGTCTGCTTATTCAACCTGTTTTGAGACTCAGTTCTTTAGTGAGACAACCACTGATCCTCAATAGATAGAAGCTATGAAGCTGGAGATTGCAGCCTTAGAGGAAAACAAAACCTAGAGCATCGTTGATCTGCGCCCTTGCAAAACACCAATAGGGTGCAGTTGGATCTTCAAAATCAAGTACAAGGCCTCAGGAGAGGTTGAAAGATACAAGGCCATACTTGTAGCCAAAGTCTATGGTCAAAAGGAAAGGCTGGACTACAGTGAAACCTTCTCCCTTGTAGCCAACATAGTAACAATTAGGTCCATTGTAGCTTTTGATGCCTCTCAGCAATGGATGATTTACTAGATTGGTGTTCATAATGCCTTCCTTAATAGTGAATTGTTTGAAGAGGTGTATATGCATATTCCATAGGGGTTTTCCAGACTGGGGGAGACTAAGAAGGTCTGCAAACTCCACAAGTCCTTATATAGTCTTAAACAATCACCAAGGCAGTGGAATATGAAGTTAACAGAGGTACTTTTACAGTTGGGTTTTAAACAGAGTCACTATGATTATTCATTGTTCATAAGAGGAACCAATAGTGACACAGTTATCGTCCTTGTGTATGCGGATGATCTATTGATCACAGGGAACAATGATAAGTTACTTTGTGACACTAGAATAGAGTTGCAGAGGAAGTTCAAAATGAAGGATTTAAGGGAATTGAAATTCTTTCTGGGAATTGAGTTTGCTAGATCAAAGAAAGGAATCCTTATGTGTCAAAGAAAGTATGCACTAGAGTTGATATCTGAAGAAGGCTTGGGTAGAGCAAAGCTTTCTGGTACACTATTAGAGTTGAATAAAAAACTCACATCTTTAGAGTATGACAAATGCATTTAGAATTGCAAACAAGAAGGTGATCAGGAACTCAAGAATCCTAATTGCTACCAGAGACTTGTGGGAAAGCTGCTATACCTCACTATGACAAGACCATATATTGCCTTTGCAGTTGAGGTCTTAATTCAGTATAGGCACTGTCCTAAGGTGTCACACATAGAAGCTGCTCTTAGAGTAGTGAGATATATCAAAGAAGCACCAGGCTTGGGGTTACTTATACCTGCAGAAAGTACAGACAAGTTGGTTGCCTACTGTGATTATGATTGGGGATCATGTATAGCATCAAGGAGATTAGTTACTAGGTACTTGGTCAAATTTGGAAATGCATTGGTGTCTTGGAAGTCAAAGAAACAAATGACTATGTCCAGAAGTTCAACTGAGGTTGAGTTCAGAAGTATGGCTTCATGTGCAGCAGAATTACTTGGATGGTAGGGCTGTTCAAGGAACTTGGAGTTAGAATTCAGCAGCCTATAAGTCTAATATGTGATAGTAAGGATGCTATACAAATAACTTCTAATCCTATCTTCCATGAAAGGACCAAACATATTGATATTGATTGTCATTTTGTTAGGGAGAAAATATGTCAAGGACTGCTAAAGACAGATTATGTACATACTAAAGATCAACTAGCAGATTTACTGAAAAAGAGCTTGGGGAAGTTTCAACATGATCATTTACTGAACAAGCTATGAGTGAAAAATGTATATCAACCATCAGCTTAAGAGGAGTGTTGACTGGAGTTAATAAAGCGAGCTGATAAGCTAACTATAGTTAGAAATGTAACTGTAGGCTGTAGTTAAAAGTAAGTTAGTTGGTACAATGTTAGAAGGTAGATAAGTGAGGGTTTTTATTAATTATTAGCGCCTTTTAGCTTTTATTTTAGTCTAAAAGCGTTTAATTATGTTCCCGAAACTAATGAAATGTGCAAAATTGCAGGAATGTTAGAAGTTGGATTCCTGAGATGAAATCCGACTCAAAAAGGAGTAATAATAAAACAAGGCAACAAAAGAGACAAGAACTTGCAAAGTGCGGACCGCAGAATTCTATCTGCGATCGCCAACAATGAAGAAAATTCCAACAGGCTTCCTAGCAAAATGCGGTTTGCAAAGGAATTGTGCGGCCGCAATTGAAGAATTGGAAATAAACTTTAGAAGGTGTGAAATTTGCCAAAGTCCAAGTTCCTCAAGATTGCGGACCGCACAAGAAATGTGCGGCCGCAAAATAAGTGCCTTGTGGCCGTAGAAAGAAAAATACGGACCGCAAATCAACAGATTGCGTTCGTAGTGATAAATCTGCGCACGTAGAATCATTGCCTCGCGGCCGTAGTGGATAATTGTGCGGTCGCAGAATCCCAGCTCTTGCAAGATGAATACTTCTACTGACTATACATAGAATTGTGCATCCGCAGAACCTCCCGAAGGGCATTTTTATCCGAAATTTTCAGTCATGTATAAATAGACGAGTTTCACAAAATTAGGTCAACTTTTGACATCAACAACTATAGTAGTCATTTCTCTTTTCTTCTTTTAATAGTCTTTCAAATTTTGGGATATTTTAACACAGATTTCATCATTTTTATTTTACAACATGAGTTTAATTAGTATCTCTTCTTCTATTTTTTTCAATTCCAAGCATGAGTAGCTAGATTTTTACTAAGGTTGTGACCCAATCCCGGTATGTAAACCTTATGGGTGTTTAATTTAATGCTTATTTATGGTTGGGTATTTATTATTTAGCCTTGTTCATGCTTTAATATGTGGAATTAATGATTGCAAATATTAGTTCATGCCTATTTGACTTAGTCTCTACTTGAGAAAGAGAGACTTGAAAACTTGACTAACAAGAAATTGGGTAAATTGATAGGTTGATAATCCCAATTAAAGGGTTCAACCTAGAGATAGTAATAATCCGACTAGAGCTTTTATCAACCGTTTTGAGCAATACCCATTTTGACTTGAGAAAGCCAAATTGGACAAAATCACTCTCTGACCGAGAGGTATTGAGTGGGTAATTGAGTGTTGATAGCTATAATATACCCTGATCAATAAAATAATTATTAAGGTTTATATCTCATTAGGCAAACACCTAGGTGATGGTCATAGTCCTAGGCTTTTCACAAAACTTGAAAAATAACAAAAACAATTTCCTAATTTTATTTTTTAACTCTGCAATCTTAGTTTAAAATAGACATAGAAACAACACCATTTTGTGGAAATGTAAATTGAGATAGTTCATGCCCATGTATTATAATATATACTACTAAATCCCTTATATATATCCCTATGAAAATCGACCCAGACTCTTATTGGGTGTTACTATTGCAATCGACCGTTTTATGTCCTTGATTTGAGGTGTGAATTGGACGAGATCAATTTTTGGCGCTGTTGCTGGGGAGCTAAAAATGGTTTTAGCTATATATTTGGTTTTGTGTGTGGATTTTCTTCTTTTCCTTTCGTGTTACTAATTTGTGTGAATCAATTGTAGGTGCAACAATGGCAAACAACATTGATCAACTTGGAAACATGCCTTTGGGGATGTGGATGTTGAGGATGAACAAGTTGAAGAGGTTTCTCTTGAACCTCAAGCAAATAGAAAAGGTCGGGCGCCTCAAGACAACGTCCCAGTTCCACCCCCACCTTCACCAAGAGCGACTCCATACCGAGTGTTACCAAATAAAGGGTATGCAACTGCTATAGTCCCGCCCAGCATTAGGGCGGGAAACTTTCAAATCACTAATGTAATACTCACATTGCTAGAGCAACGAGGTTTCTTTACCAGAGCTCCAAGTCAAAATGCATACAAACACTTGAAGGGGTTTATGGATACTTGTTGGGGGAGTAAACAAACAAATGTCTTCGGGGATTCTAGCATTCAAACAATGACGGAGTGCCCCAAACAAATGTCTTAGAGACGAGATTCTAGCATTCAAACAAAAGACCAATGAGTCGTTATATGAGATATGTGAGCGGTATAGAATAATGGTCAAAGAGTGCCCCAATAATGACATGACGGAGAATATGATTCAACAAACTTTCTATCGAGGGATCAATATGACCAATCAGTGCGTGGTAAATTAACTTACCGATGAAAATGTCATGACAATGACGTATACAGAATATTCTAAAATTTTAGATTAAATGGCGGATACCTTGTCGGCATGGAAATCTAGGGCTAATGTTCCTCAAGATAATCCGAACGTAATTCACCTCCATAAAGAGTTACATGACCATGGACAAGCTATTGCTGAATTGACCACCATAATGAATCAATTAGCAAAGGATCAACTTCAACAAGTGCAAAATTCCAAGCAAGTTAATGACATGGAGGGTGTAAGCATGATGGTGAGCAAAAGAAGGACCAAGGGTTCACAAGTGCAAAACCGAGTGGAGAATTATGTGCAAGAAGACAGTGGATTTGATTAAGATGAATCTTAAAATGAACAAGAAGAGGAGGTACAATAGGTGAACAACTACCAAGGGAAAAGAAACAAATCTAAAGGCTTGAATCAACAATAATGGTGACCTCAAGGTAGTCAAGGTAATTGGAATTCTAACAACTAAGGTAATTGAAGCGATGGAAATAATCAAGGGAATTGGCATAACAATAACAGTCAAGGAAATTGGAGTGGTGGAAATAACCAAGGAAATTGGAGTGGTGGCAATCAAGAAAATTGGGGAGGTAACAATCAAGGGGAATAGAACAATAATCAAGGCAACTGGGGGTCGGGTTTTCAAAGGCCCCCGATGTATCAACAACCGAGCAACCCGCCTCCTTATCCTTCCCATGGTCTAAGTTCTTCCGACAATGAAATGGGGCGTATTGAGAATATGTTCAAGCAAATGATGGAGAAGAATGTCGATTCCGATACCAACTTGCCTCACACAAAATATCAATCCGTAACTTGGAAGTTCAAATGGGGCAAATCTCTCAAGTTCTAAATACTTGTTTTAAGTGGTCACTACCAAGTGACACGGTGGTGAACCCAAAGGGTGGGAACAACAGGAGGCATGCCATAGATGTTACTATAAAGAGTGAAAAAGGTGGGAATGCACCCACCTCAAGCCAAAGGCAACTTGTGGATGAAGAGCAAGTAGTGCAAGAAGAGGAGATCCCGAACAATGTTGATCAATCCAATGATGAGGTTCAGATTGATATTGATGATAGTGTGGAAGAGACTCGAGAGGAGGTGAACCCATCTAGGGATCACATTATTGACATGCCGGAACCGATAGTGCAAAAAGCTAAAGCACCATTTCCTAAGCCTCCACCTCCATACCCTCAAAGACTTGCAACGCAAAATGGTGAAAACCAATTCAAAAAGTTTATCCAAATTATGAAGAGTCTCTCAATTAATGTGCCATTAGTTGAAGCCTTGAAGCAAATTCCTGGTTATGCAAAGTTCATGAAGGAACTTGTGACAAAGAAGCAGTCGATGAATTTTGAAACTGTAAAAATAACTCATCAAGTAAGTACAATTGTACATTCAATGGCTTCCAAGTTGGAGGATCCCGGTGCTTTCACGATTCCTTATACAATTGGAAGTGCCAATTTTGCAAAAGCTCTTTGTGATCTTAGGGGAAGTATAAATTTGATGCCTTATTTGGTTTCCAAGACATTGGGAATCGGACAACCAAGGCTTACCTCTATGAGATTGCAAATGACCGATCGAACAATGAAGAGACCCTTAGGAGTGATTAAGGATGTTTTGGTTCGCGTTGATAAATTCATTCTCCCATTGGATTTTATCATTCTTGATTGTGAGGTTGATTATGAGGTGCCAATTATTCTTGGTAGACCTTTCCTTGCTACGGGGAAGACTCTTTGTGATGTTGAAACCGGAGAACTTACTTTCCCGGTTGGTGATAAAAAGGTGGTTTTCCATGTGTGTAAGTCCATGAGGCAACCTAATAGCAATGATGTGTGCTCTTTCGTGGATTTGGTGATTGATGTGATTGTGGATGAAACAAGTACTATGGTAAATGTTGGTGATATGTTGGAGGAAGTCTTGCTCAACTTTGATGATGACGAGATGGATGGCTTCATGGAATGTGTGAACTCTTTGCAAGAAATGGGTCATACACATATAAACCCACAAATTGTCCTTGGATCTTGAAAATAGGACAACTCATCCTACAAAGCCTTCAATCGAAGAGCCCCATATCTTGGAAAGAAGCCATTGCCTCCACATCTTCGATATGAATCTCTTCGCCCTTCTTCTACTTTACTGGTTATTTTTTCCTCTTGTTTGACTAATGTGCAGGTGGACTCTACATATACAGTGCTATAAAAGAGAAAGAAGGCTATTGGATGGACATTGGAGGATATTCGGGGGATAACCCCGCATTTTGCATGCACAAGATTAACGTCGAGGAAGGTGCCAAACCATCTATTGAACATCAAAGAAGACTAAATGAAGCCATACAAGAGGTTGTCAAAAAGGAGATTATCAAGTGGTTGGATGTCGGGGTTGTCTACCCCATCTCCGATAGTTAGTGGACTTCTCTGGTTCAATGTGTCCCAAAGAAAGGGGGCAATGACGGTGGTCACCAATGACAAGAATGAGTTAATTCCTACAAGAATGGTGATCGGGTAGATAATGTGTATGGACTATCGTAAGCTCAATAAAGCCACAAGGACGGACCATTTTTCACTTCCCTTCCTAGATCAAATGCTTGATATTGGCCGGCTGCGCTTTCTATTGTTTCCTTGATGGGTATTCCGGCTACAACCAAATTCTTATTGCTCTGGAGGATCAAGATAAAACCACCTTTATATGTCCTTATGGTACTTTCGCCTTCAAGCGGATGCCATTTGGGTTGTGCAATGCACCGGCGACTTTTCAAAGGCGTATAATAGCTATCTTTATGAACACGGTGGAAATCTACCTTGAAGTCTTCATGGACGACTTCTCGGTGGTCGGGAATTCTTTTGATGATTGTCTCGGAAACTTAGATAAGTGTTGGCAAGATGTGAAGAAACAAGTTTGGTGCTAAATTGAGAGAAATGTCATTTCATGGTCGAGGAAGGCATTGTCCTTGGCCGTAAGATCTTAAAAAATAGCATTGAATTCGACAAGGCAAAGATTGAGGTGATTTCTAAACTTTCACCTCCAACTTTGGTGAAGGGCGTGTAGAGTTTCTTAGGCCACGCGGGGTTTTACTGGCGTTTCATCAAGGATTTCTATAAAGTGGTTAACCCGTTGTGTAATCTTTTGGAGAAAGATGCTAAGTTCCACTTTAATGATGATTGCATGAGAGCCTCTGAATTTTTAAAGTTCAAGCTGAATACTAATCCCATTATCACCGCTCCAGATTGGAGTGTTCCTTTTGAGCTCATGTGCGATGTAAGTGATGTAACTGTGGGGGCTGTTTTGGGGCAACACATCAACAAGATTTTTTATTCGGTTTACTATGATAGTAAGACCATGAGCAATTCAACTATATCGTTACGGAGAAATAGCTCCTTGCCATTTTGTTTGCTATTGAGAAGTTCCACCCATACTTGATGGGTGCAAAAGGGATTGTCCACACGGATCATGCGGCACTTCGTTATCTTATGAGCAAGAAAGATTCCAAAGCCCGATTAATGAGATGGGTTCTTTTATTGCAAGATTTTGATATTGACATCCAAGATTGAAAAGGAAGTGAAAACTAAATGGCGGACCACTTGTCTCGTTTGGAAGAGGAGGGGAGAACGCATGATGGACTTGAAATCAATGACTCCTTCCTAGATGAGAAACTCTTGGCTATTTCAATGAAAGAGGTGTCATGGTTCGCGGATCTAGCAAATTTTCTTGTGAGTGGTATCATCCCGGATGAGTTCTCTTCAAATCAAAGGAAGAAGCTCAAACGGGATTGTTAAGACTATTATTGGGATGAATCGTACATTTTTCGGATTTGTACGGATGGAGTGATTAGAAGATGTGTACTGGATAAGGAGTAACGTAAAATTCTTGGGGATTATCACTCTTCGCCATATAATGGTCACCATGGTAGAGCGAGAACGACGGCCAAAGTGCTAAGTTTCGGTTTCTATTGGCCCAATATTTACAAGGATACAAGTGATCGAGTGAAACGATATGATGAATGTAAAAGGGTTGGTGGAATCTCAAAGAAAAATTAAATGCCCCTCACCACTGTTTTGGAGATTGATATTTTCGATGTGTGGGGTATTGACTTCATGGGTCCTTTTGTGAATTCTTGTGAAAACACTTACATCTTGGTCGCGGTTGATTATGTGTCCAAATGGGTTAAGGCTGCTGTTTTACCCAACAATGAGGTGAGAAGTGTGATAGTGTTCTTAAAGAAGAATATTTCACAAGGATTGGTACTCCGCGGGCAATCATAACTGATAGGGGGTCACATTTTTGCAACAAAGCCTTCGAAACCTTACTCACCAAGTATGGTGTCACTCATAAAGTCACGACTCCATACCATCCACAAGCAAGCAGTTAAGTGAAAGTCTTCAACCGGGAGATAAAAAGCATTTTGTCCAAAATAGTGAAGGCTAACCGGATGGATTGATCCGAAAAACTTGATGATGCTTTATGGGCTTATAGGAAGGCTTACAAAACACCTATCGGAATGTCTCCATATCGTTTGGTGTTCGGAAAAGCTTATCATCTTTGGGTGAAACTTGAGCACAAAGTCATGTGGGCTTTAAAGAAGTTAAATCTTGAGTAGGATGTCACCGCTAACTTGAGGGTGACACATTTAAATGAGTTGGATGAGTTCTGGTACCATGCATTTAATTGTGTGCCCGGAATTGATGAATGTGCAAAATTGCAGAAATGTTAGAAGTTGGACTCTCGAGATGAAATCCGACTCAAAAAGGAGTAATCAAAGCACAAGACAACAAAAGAGTCAAGAACTTGCAAAGTGCGAACCGTAGAATTCCATCTGTGGCCGCAAACAAAGAAGAAAAAATCCAACATGCTTCCTAGAAAAATGCGGTCCATAAAGGAATTGTGCAGCCGTAGTTGAAGAATTAGAAATTAACTTCAGAGAGTGTGAAATATGCCAAAGTCCAAGTCCCTCAAGATTGCAGACCGCACAAGAAATGTGCGGCCGAAGAAGAAGTGCCTTGTGGCCGCAGAAAGAAAGATGCGGACCACAGATCGACATATTGCGGCCGCAGTGATAAATCTGCGAACGGCAGAATCATTGACTCGTGGCCGCAATGGAGAATTGTGCGGCCGCAGAATCTCAGCTCATGCAAGATGAACACTTCAGTGGACCGCACATGGAATTGTGCGGCCGTAGAACCTACCAAAGGGCATTTTTATCCGAAATTTCCAACCATGTATAAATAGATGAGTTTCATAAAATTAGGTCAACTTTTGACATCAGCAACTACAGTAGTCGTTTCTCTTTGCTTCTCTTAATAGTCTTTCATATTTTGGGATATTTTAACATAGATTTTATCATTTTGATTTTATAATATGAGTTTAATTAGCATCGCTTCTTCTATTTCTTCAATTCCAAGCATGAGTAGCTAGATTTTTACTAGGATTGTGACCCAACCTGAGTGTGTAAACCTTATGGGTGTTTAATTTAATGCTTGTTTATGGTTGTGTGTTTATTATTTAACCTTGCTCATGCTTCAATTTGTGAAATTAATGGTTGCAAACATTAGTTCATGCCTATTTGACTTAGCCTCTACTTGAGAAAGAGAGGCTTAGTCTAGAAAAACTTGACTAACAAGAAATTGAGTAAATCGAGAGATTGATAATCCCAATTGAAAGGTTCAACCTAGAGATAGTAATAATCCGACATGAGCTTTTATCAACTGTTTTGAGCAATACCCATTTGGACTTGAGAAAGCCAAATTTGGCAAAATCACTCTCTGGCCGAGAGGTATTGAGTGTTGATAGCTATAATATACCCTGATCAACAAAACAAGCATTAAAGTTTATATCTCATTAAGCAAACACCTAGGTGATGGTCATAGCCCTAGGGTTTTTACAAAACTTGAAAAATAACAAAAACTGTTTAATAGTTTCATTTCTTAACTTTGCAATCTTAGTTTAAAATAGACATAGAAACAACCCCAATTTGTGAAAGCGTAAATTGAGATAGTTCAAGCTCAAATAATATAATATATACTCCTAAATCCCATATATAGATCCCTTTGAAAATCGACCCCGACTCTTGTTGGATATTACTATTGCAATCGACCGTTTCATATCCTAGATTTGAGGTGTGAATTGGACGAGATCAGTTATACTGTAGCTTTATAAATATACCGTGCACTCATGTATAGATACACAGTTGTATCATTTTCTTCTCAATAACAGATTTTGTTTTCTCTCATCCTCTGAGTGTTGCCTTCTCTTGCATGTCTTCTTCCACGAGCTCAACCTTCAAATCCATAGCAACTAATATGGTATCAGAGCCACCGGAGTAGATTGAAGGCAGTTCTCAAGCTAATCCTTACTCTCGTTACCTCAATTTCACAATCTTGTGGTAAATTATCCAATTATAGCGTGTAGCTGAAAGGCTAGGGTTTACTCTTGAGAAGCAGCAGAAAATGGCGATTGAAGAAGAAACGTTATCTGAAACTTCATTTCCAGCAACTACAACCTCTGGCAATGTCAATTTCGCCACCGGCGCAACTGTATTTCCATCAGTTGACCACAATCACCCACTCTTCCTTCAACCAACAGACACTCCAGGTAGTATTCTGATTTCTCTTCAACTTACTGGTTCAGATAACTATGTGTTATGGTGTAGGTCTATGAGGATTGGTATGTTAGGGAAGAGCAAGTTAGATTTTGTAGATGGTCGATTTCCTAAGTCTAAGTTTGAACATGAACTTCATAACAACAATATATATACAAAACTTAAAAAAGCCTTTTTCTTCTTGAAGAAAAATGATGTTCTTGTGATGGAAATTTGGACTCAACAACATGTACAAAACTGTTCATCTGTTATATTTTGAAGTGGAAAAGTCAAGAGTATTACTATACCTATATATGATAATTTACTCTCTTTAAAAAAAAAAAGATATTTGCAGCTCAACTTGAAGAATAATTTGTTCTTGAAATTCTCAAGTTTACTTGTAATTTTACAAATCTTGACAGTCAAAGATTTAAAAAAAAAGAACTACTCTATTTTTGCACTAGTTAATGTCCTCTTTATTTTCTACATTTGTTGATGTTTACTACTCCATATTATAATACTATCGTTAAGTTGCCTGAACAAGAAAAAAAATGGAACAATTCATTTTTCGCCCACAACTATGTTTCCTTTGGACCCTTCGTCCACCTGCCACCAGCAAAAGCAAGCTAGCCCCTTATGTTCGAAATTTGGGAGAAGCATTTTCATCGTGAAAGATTCAATCTTGCTTCTCTAAGGGCCACATATCTTCATTAATGTTCCACAAATTTTCGAAAATATCTTCACTTTCCATCCATAATTGTATGTTTTGTTGATCCGTTGCTTGGGAATGTTCGTAGCATAGTCGATAACTATGATTAACTTGATAATAATCTGGACTAATACTGCTAATTTGGTTAACAGGGTAATCGTAGCAACAATCAGACAGGTCAGAGAGTGGTGTCACACTGGAATTCTCTGATACAAAGCTCGTGCTCGGATTACTGTTATTATTATTATTGTTGTTGTTATTCGCCACTTGAAATAGCTCGAGCTCATTGATGTCTGTATTTGGAATGGGCTGCTGAGTCACTTCACTACAAGAATTACTGGGAATTTTGGCTGCTTGAATTCTCTCAATAAGCCTTGGCATCCAAAGATAGCGCAGTGTATCTTTGAATTGTTTGCTGTTGACATCACATTTTAGTTGTTTGGCATGCTTTTGCACTCGGGTTCTCCAGTAATTTTTTATCTCGTTATCAGTTCTTCCTGGCAAATGCTGAGCAATTTTTGACCACCTACACTCAAAATATATATATATAACAATTATAAAAAAAATCAAGTTTTACCTGTTAATAATCTTTAAAAAAAATACATTGTACTAAGATCTAGTAATAGCAAATAGAGTTGAGCTTTCTATGCATTAATAAAGTTCAAAATTTTTTACACTACCATGTTGTCTAATTGATAACTACAAGTACTCTCTTCTATCAACAATAAATGACTATTTTACTTTTTATTTTGGTCCAAAATAAGTGTTCATTTACATAATCAAGAAGCTAAGTAATTAATTTTATTTTTTCACAAATTACCCTTATTTACATATTCTAATATGGCAAGGTAACAGTTAATTAAGGTTAATTTAGTAAATACATCTTTTTTTCTCTAAAAGTTCATATTTCCTTAATGAGTGTGCTAAAATTGTCACTTATTGTGCACCGGAGGAAGTAAAATATCTTGCTAGTAAACAAATTCTTTTATACTGCCACTATATATATATATATAGAGAGAGAGAGATATTTTACGAATGAACATACCGATTGCCCCAACGAGAATGAAGTTCAAGAATCAAGAGTTGTTCTTCAAGAGTAATATTTCCTCGTCGAACATCTGGTCGAAGATAGTTTAGCCATCGTAACCTGCAGCTTTTCCCCGTTCGTTTCAAACCTGTTATTTAACGACTTGTTAATACCAAACGACTTAAATCCTTCAAATATTAATTCAGTGATAAGTATAGCACACATATATATATGGGAATTAAGATTAAATTATTTACCAGCGCAGTGGGCGAGGGAATTCCAACGACCTTCACCATGAAGAGTGATGTAATTAATAAGGGTGAAGTCTTCTTCAACAGTCCATGGACCTTTTCTAAGGTCCATTGTTACTTCATCAATAAGTTGTTGATTGTTGTTACTACAAAATCCATATCTTTCACTGCTCAAACCAACTTTAACATGATGATGATCCATCAAAATCACTATAATTTCCTGTAAATGAAGTAACTGATTGATTGATATAAAAAGGACTCGATAGATTTGTTAAGTGTTAGGGAGAGAGAGAGATTTAGAGATAGAAAGAGAAGGATGAGATGTATTGATTATTACACGAGGACGCAGAGGAGGAGGTGGGGCTTTATTATATAGATTCATGGAAAGTGAGCAGAGGCGGATTTAGAATGTTAAACTTATGGATTCCTACAACGATCTCAAATTAATATACATAATAATTGGATCAAAGAAGTGAGTTCTAAGCTAAATATTCTTACATGGTCTATGTAAAAGTTATTGGGTTCACGGGAACCCGTAAACCTTGCATTAGATCCGCCCCTGAAAGTGAGTAGTAGTTTGGAAAATGGACGGGAGCCTTAAAATAACGGTAAAGTTGTCTCTTTGTTACCTATAGATTACGAGTTCGAGTTATGAAATCAACTATTGATACTTGCATCAGAGTAAGTTGTCTATATCAAATCTCTTGTTGTGCAACCATTCTTCAGACCTTGCGTGAATACGTAATGTTTTATGCACCGAAAAAAAAGGTGGTTTGGAAAATAGTGAACAAAAGGTGGCATGTGATGTGAGGGAGCTCTTTATTTTTATTCCCACTTTTTAATTCTAATGTTTAAATAAAGCATATAGTACATTAATACGACTTATTAATTAACTTGTTTTGCACCTTTGAGTTTGCCCGTCTTAGCATATATATTAAAATATTGCATCCCTGGAAATCATGAATAGAGAGATCTAGAAATACCACTTTACCATCCAAGTGGGAATACAAATTAGTCGGACACAAAAGCAAGTATCGAATACTCAAGTGAAAAAACAAAAAATAAAAGTGTTATTGATATTTTTGACTCTTTCTAATTTCATGTGTTGATGTTCCTTAATTCATTGCTTGAAAATGCTTGAAAACGTAATAAAATGTCTGCTAATATTTGTTCGAGTTGAAAGTAATGGTTTCAGTTAAATCTGCCTCATTTTTATTATTCCGTCCGATCCACAATAAGTGATCAATTTACTTTTTTATTTTGGTTTAAAATAAGTATCCATTTATATAATCAAGAAAAAATTCAATTTGTTTTTCCAAAATTACCTTTATGTATGTATCCTTAAAAATTCATTTACTCCTCACATTTGAGAAGAGAAGTAAATGCTACTATAACTATGATGCAATATTTAATGACGGGTAGTTTAGTCACACAAACTATTTTTGTCTAAAATTTAGTATTTCTTTAGTGGGTGTGCCAAAACAAATTGGGATATCCTAGTGGTATTAATTTACGGTACTGTAAAACATATCTACATCTTCAAATTTCTTTTAAAAAAATTGTAAGCAAATATTTACACTAAATGTAGGTTAATAAATAGAATTTAAGTATACACACTGATAGTGTAAAACTCATTTAACAAGAAAATTTAGCATTGTATAATGCTTTGGGGTAAATCTAGATTGGTTATTTGCTGCCAATTGTTTTAGGCTTCAATTGCAAGATCTAATCTTTGGCTAAAATCCTGCCAATAGTAACTAACATGCTTAATAAATCATGCTTAATTTTGTTACGTTGCGCCTCCTAAGATTCCTTGGAAGGGCGACATAAGGCTAAGCAATTGATGTTAGTGCAGTTACTATCCGCCAACTGAGGTCCCCTCTGTACGCTAGACGAGATTTGTCAGTGTCGTACGGGAAGACCAATATCAAGAGCAATTGAGAGAACACCAATGCAAATTAAGAATGAAAGAAAACTTGATTGCATTAATGAAAGCTATTACAGAAAGGTAACACAGTGTCGAGGGGGAGTCAGACCAGCACAGAGAATTGTTTGCTTGCTAGAACGTTTGATTGCTTCATCCCCCTAATAGTGCTTAAAAAAATAAACCAAAATTACAAGACTTGACCTAACTAAGCTAGAGGAACATAATGGAAGTACATGAAATAAAACTACTCTATATTTACAATGAAAAGGTTTTAGTTTTCTACAAGGTAGAAACAGGTCAGTTATCAGCAACTTTGTCTTTGGCATCACGGTCTACGCGTGCGGCGCTATTGGCATCTACCTGCAGCTGGACGCTGGTGAGGGCTATCGGTGGGGCGACAGAGACACATGCGTGTTTGTCACTTGGCGCAGCCAAGACCACGGGGTCGTCCATGGCACTAGGCGTTGGGAGGCTTGCTAGGACACCATGGAGCGCGTCCAAGGGGTCATGGGGCATGGATGGAAAGCCAACCATGACATTTTCCCCCACCTGAGTTGGCGACTTACTTGCAAGATAATCATCAATAAGGCTCTTGTAGGATTTGAGGTTTGTTCCCCTCTCCCAAGTATTCTCTTCTACATCACAGCCCTGCCATTTCACCAAGAACTCTTGGTGATCTTTCCTTGAGGTTGTTTAACCAAAAAATGGGATAATCAAAAGAATATATGAAAGGAAGTAATTTGGCTAGCAATAATATAATCAGAAGAAAAACAAGTAAATCAATATATTCAGATAGTATTTCGTGTCCCTACAATTGATCAGTTATATCCTTTTTATAGCTATTTGGGAGTTATGTGTTTTGCCCTTGTCATAATTAGACTATTATGAGTAATTAAAAATATTGAATACTACGTTACACAATCATTGTATTTAATACAGATTCTCTAACGTATTCAGTATTTAATGCTCATTAAATATTGTATCTGTACTCTCGTATATTGTCAGATTCAATCCACTTATTTCCTGGACCTAAATGACTTAAATAGGTACGGGCGCCGAGTGCTTTGAATATCTGCCCGTGTCTCTTCCTTTGCCTTTGCTCGTATCTGTTGCAACTCGTGTCTCTTTGCCAGCTGTAACTCTTTGACTAGTCTATGGACTTGACACATTATCTTTGTTCCACTTTAATATGTAAACTCAATTTTTCCCAATACAGATAGTCCCTCCACTTGCCATTTATTCATCAATTGAATATTTGGGAAGTGGATTTCATCAAAACGAGAATTTTTGTCACCATTAATGCCATGACAAAATTGACGCTTCAATTGTCACTTCCATTTAATGCTCTTCACATGTGTCACCTTTTCATTAGTTCTGCAGTTTTGCAGCCCTTTTTAAGGCTTTTTCACGGCTCCACTATTCACGAAGCATCAGTTATGATTATTATGGTACTTCCATCATTACACTTTTTCCTTCGGTGGTTGCTTATCAGTATAAATATAATTTCTTTCTTTGTCTTTTCCACATAAAGTTTACTGAATATTCAATCTCTCAAATCCATGTTTGCTTCTTCATCGTATCATCCTCATTCATCATGTCTTCTTCAAATTTTAACCCTAGAAGGGTTTCCATAGTTGATACCTTCCCTAATGCCCCTATTAGAAGCAGAAGGGGAGGTAGGCTTCGTAATTTAGGATCTGTTTGCGGTTCTTCCACTCCTTTACCTAGTTCTGGCCCTTCTTCTAGAACTAGGGGTTCACTTTCACAAAGATCCTCTTCAAGATATAAATAACCCTCTAAACCTCTTCGTGAGCCTACAGTCGGAACTATCTTATTATCATGACAGAGAATCTCTTAGGAACCAAGTCTCTAGTTTAGATCGTGCTGATATTTATCCCACTTAAATTACAGAAGGTTTGATTTCTATAGTTCGTAGAGACTGTCATTGGAGTAGTGATTTCCCTATTATTATCCCTAATCCGAATCAAAGAATCACCTCTTACATAACCGGGTTTTCTTTTGTTTATACATACCCTTTCACATTAGGGTTTAGACCATCTATTGACCCTGTTATTCTTGAGTTATGTCGTTTCTTCGATGTTTGTTTGGGTCAAATTGTCCCAATCATATGGAGGGCTATTGCCTATTTGAGGCATTTGACCAACACAGTCGGTGTTCCCTTTACTTTCCCTTATTTGATTCACCTTTACTCCCCTAGACTCTTCCGCAATTGTGTTTTCACACTAGTAGCCAGGAGCAAGAGAGTTTTGGTGAGACCTGAGGATGACAAAGACCGTGGCTGGTATGCTAGGTTTGTTGCTGCCCCCACTGTTGGTTTAGTGGGTGATGATAATGTTCCCTTCCCTGAGAAGTGGAATTTTGCACGTAAGTCTTTTTAACTTTCTCGTACCTTTTTTCTTCAAGTTTGTCAACTTTTCTAATTTTTCTTTTTTTAGCAACCATGAGAGTTATGGAAGACGTTCTCAATTTCCGTGATTGGGTAGACAAGCTATTGAAGATTGCTCCAATGGATTGTAGATCTTGGAAAATCATTTTTCAACGATTTGGTTGGAAAGTAAAAACTCATGGTAAGAGCTTTTATTTTATTTCATCTTTTCATGTATATTTTTTTTATTGCACTAATTTCTATTCATATTTTTATCAGGATTTGCTATTCGTGGAGTCACTATCGAGGCAGTCGCGGCTTCCCGCATCTCTTTGGAAAGGGCTCAAGAAATAATCTTGGGTTCTTCTGCAAAAAGAAAAGTCGTTGCCGTTGAGGAACAAGACTCTGAAGAGGAGGAAGACGGGGGCTCTTTGGTGACAAGGCCACGAGCTCGAAGACGCATCATTTCTGATGATGAAGCAGAGGTATCCTCTCGTCGTTCTATTCCTCTTACCGAGTTTGCTGAGACTCCGGTACTGATTCTTGATGATTACGTTGCTCCTGCTGCTGCTCATGACTCTGCTGAGCAGCTTTTTATTAGCGGGTTTGGTAGTGAAGGCTTAGGCCCTGTTTTAGATGAAGTGCCCTTGGCTTCTTTTTCGACACCCATGTCTGTAACTCATTTTTTGCTAGTCTCGATTATTTCTGTTCCTCCCCAGACTATTTTTACCACTTTTTCTGTTCCTCCTTCGACAATTCCTCCTCCAAACATTCATCTCACTGAGGTTGGCTCCTCAAGTAGTAGTGCTGCTATGAGGCGAGTAGTCAATGAAGTTCTTGCTGAGGGCAGTCTCTTAAGGAAATCAGGTCAAGCGGATGTATGGATAGAGCCTTTAATTGACCCAATTGAGAAAGCTAAGCTAGAGAGCCATAGTTCCTTGACCCTGATGAACGATATTGTGCACACCACTTTGAAGGTATTCCCCTTCTCTTTTTTCTTTTACTTTGT